AAACAAAACAAAACAAAACAAATATGCATATTTCATATGACTGCCTGAAAAGTAAATTACCCAAAACAGGCAGCTATGTGCTGAGTGTTATCGAAGCCGATCCTCCGTCTTCAAGCAATGGTAATCAGATCACATGACCGACACAGAGAACAAGGAAATACATCATGAGGTCATATAAGTTTGCGGATCACCAAACATAATGTGGCTCGGTGAGTTGAGAATGCTGCAAATATGTAGGCACTTTTCACAAATATTTGAACAAGGCAATTTTGAGGGATTAAGCAAACCAACAGAAAGTCAGTTATAAGTAGTAGCTATAAATATTGCGCTTGCCTATACAGTAGTCTAAACTACTCAACATAAGCAAATATTGTAATATGATAAACCAAAAAATGGAGAAACAGAAACACCTATAATGCTATTCTAAGAGGAAGTTGATAGTTTGTCATGTTGCCCCCTTATTTTCACATCAGCAAAACGCACCTTTGTTATCTCCCTCGACAGTCTAAAGGAGCTAAAGCAGCAATGAATCAGGGAAGGAATGTGGGCAGTGCCTAAGAATGTGGCTTGAAGATTTCAATAGTTCCACCTTTTCCCTCTGCACTGGAGGAAGGACTCAGCACCTACTCCCAATCTACATGCGAGGCGGTGTCCCCTGGGGTGCCTAACTGGATGAGCTGTTTTTTGAATCCTCCTCCCTTGATGACACCTATTCCTTATTTCTGCAGCAGGTGACCTCACAATAGCATCCCCTGTGAATCACGCAGGATTGTGGAGTCCAGCCAAATAAGACAGGTCTATTTGCAATGGAAAATTACCTCCTCACTCAAACTCTCCGTGGGAAAACACCCATATCACTTTTTCATAAAAATAGCTGGAGGAGAAACAGTTGCCCCGTGCTAGTTCGGTTTTCTCCTATAGCCAAATATATTACTCTCCTGAAGAATTTCAGCAATGCATCTTTAAAGAGCAGATTTGAAAGTATTCAGGCAATACTTAACCAAACATGGCTTCATTGAGTTCTATGCTTTTATCTATGCAGAGCACCTAAGGACATGAACACACAATATCACAGATACTCATGATTACAAAATTCAAGGCAAATGAGGTTGGCCATTACTATATTATTCATTTATTTTGCTTTAGGGCTGCTTCCAGACGAATAATTCCATGACCAATCATTAAACTACTTATAGACAGAATACAGTCAGCTTTCCACATCAAAAGTACTGCACTTTAGTTATATTCATAGTAAGTACTGTACTTAGTTTTTTTAATGATTCTGTTCTTGTTTCTAGATATTCGTAACAGCTTGGTTTTACTCACATGCATATTCTCTGCTAAATAGAGACCATGTTGAACAAACTGCAGCCTTCCAATCAGGGTTATCTCAGCACATTTTTTCTATAAATATAGCCTGTAATCATTATTCTTCATGGATGGTCTCAATCTAACTTTCCCATTTGAAGCAAATGTTCATCTCCATTCATCTGTATGCATGTTCTACTCTCAGAGAAACACTTCTATAACCTCATGTTCATCACAATAAATGTACCTCTGCAGATTCATATACTTACGCTTGAGAACAGGTGGTACCATAACTAGCCTCTATTACATTCGATAGCACTATTTTAGGAAAAGCAAAGCAATCAATATTAGCAACAGGATTCACAGAGAGAATTCACTGTTCACTGCTTATTAGTGAAGCTGATCAGATGCTTTCTAATGATAAATCATAGGAGATAATACAGTTCTATACTACCATATTTGCAAGTCCAGGATCACTTGTCTTCGGTCAACTTCTTTAGTATAAGCTTTCACTCCTTTAATTTTAGGGCACTGAAAACAAAGCACGCAGCAGTGTTATTCATACAGTGATGAGAAATATACCCATAAGAAAACCCCATCTATCTTAGCAAAAATATAATAACATCCAAACATCAAGCTGGAGCTATGATGATTCCAAAAAATATATTTTCTGCAGAAAGAAAACAAAATAATGGGTAGGAGAGAAAGATTACAGAGTATTTTCTACTTCAGAAGTATTGCGACTAAACCTTCTATCATTTCCAGTCACCAGGGAGTTGGAAGTTTTGCTCCAACACATCTGGGGGACAAAATTTGGGGGAAGGCTGTACTACAGCCACTGATTTTGCATTTTAAAATTCAGCCAGCTAAAATACTAGCTGTTGAATCAAATAGAAAAAAGACATCCAAAATTTAAAAACTCACTAAGAAAAAAGAAATGCTGATTACTACTTAGGATTACTGAACAAAATGAGGTACTTACTTAATTAACTGAATTAGACAATGCAAGGCATTTTCTTTCAATAATATTGTGTGCTTTTTTAAAAGGCCTAACAAAGCAAAGGATAGGTTCTTTACACTTTTTATATTAATACATTCAGGAACTAAGTGATTAATGAGTGAAAAGAGGGGGTTCTTTTGCCACTGATAGCCCCTATAAATACAGACTACTTGACAACAACTAGAATATTTAGAACAGGGTGGGAGCAAACACCGTAAGAATATTTCAGAGGACTGCCTTCTATCAGGAGATAGATTCTACAGTTGCAACATCCTTTTGTTATTTTTTTATACTAGCACCTTGAGGACCACTAAGTACAGCCAAGACCAGAAGATTCGGAGATCAAGAATCTATTTTGAGTAGAATAGAGTTCATAATCCTTCTGCACAAACATCTACTCTTTGGCTGGTGTGGGTCTTCCGGGCTGTGTGGCCGTGTTCTGGAAGTTTTGTTTCCT